GTACCATTAAAGATGAAAACAAAAATATGCTTTATGGCTTATTTTTAGAAAATACATACTCGGTAACGGCTTTTGCACAATATGTAACCCCGAACTTGCAGACATCAAATGCATGAAAAGAGTGGAAAGCACAAGTAAGACAGAACAGCTGTAAAACAATGTAATGAGTAACTGAGAGGGTGAAAAAAAGTTGGTACAGCAATAAACTAGGGAATGTAAAAGTTACTAGGTAAAAACAGTCAAAATATTATGGGGTATTCTTGCGATCTTAAGGAAATAATTTTCTTCAGTTTTTTCATATCCACGGGCTGGTAAAATAGAGGACACTGAATTTTAATTATGATCAAATATAATCTAAATGTGTGTGTGTGTGTGTGTGTGTGTGTGTGTGTGTGTGTGTGTGTGTGTGTGTGTGTGTGCGTACACATGTAAACACACATATATGTGTGTGTGTTTGTGTGTATACATACAAACACACACACACAAATATCTACATATATATGTAGAGTAAGTTCAAAAACGTTTTAACTATTTTTAATTACAAAAAATTTGCTACCACCCCTCCCCCCTCCTTGTTTTCTCCTCCCTCCTTCCGCCCCAAAATACGGCACTAAAGCATGTGATGCGTGAAAAATGTCCGTTTAATCATGGACAGGCCTCTGACATGCATCAATGAAGTCTATCGCAACTGACCGTCAGAGGTAGGGGGTAATCAAACGACATGTAGTGTTATGTGATGATGACGATGATGATGATGACGATGATGATGATGATGATGATGATGATGATGATGATGATGATGATGATGATGATGATGATCATGTACCGGCCACACGCTTCTTCTCCTCTATATTGTTCTGTCATTTTCTAAACTCTCGCCAGCTGCGAATGACACGAAAACTGAAAGTTGTAAATTTGTGACCACGGAATCAACAAATAAACACCTACATTTGTGCTGTTGTCAGCTAGTCAGTGCCACAGTGTCCCCTGTTTTGACGGGCCATGGATATCATCAATTCTCTTTACGCCTAGTGGCACATGAGGCTTCATTGAGGACTTTCCATGTTTTCCTGTCCTGTGCAATCTTCATTGCATTTTTCCATGTCAGAGATGATGCATTCAGGTCACTCTCAATCGTTCGTCTCCATGTTGTTTTTGGGCGCGCCTCCTTTCTCTTTCCCTCTGGTGTTAATGTGAGAGCTGTTTTGGCAGGTAAATCAGGATTCATTCCCATAACGTGGCCACGCTATTTCCATCTTCTCTTAGTTATCATCCTGTCTAGAGTTTCTTGGTTTGTGACTTGAAGTAGTTTAGTGTTTGAGATTGTATCTTGATAACTCTACGTAGACATGCGTGGTGGCAGATGGACAGCTTGTGTGCATCCTTTTTGTTCATTCTCTAGCATTCTGGTCCATAAAGAAGAACTGGCAAAATAATGATCTTGTAGAGTCGAAGTTTCGTTCCTATGCAGTAACTGTTGGATTTCCAGATTTGTCTCATCCTTCCAAAAGCAGCTCTAGCTTTGTTCAGACGTGACTGTATGTCTTCCTCTGTCCCTCCCAGTAGGGACACCACACTGCCAAGATATGTGAAATGTTCTACATTTTCAAGTGATTGGTTACTTATGGTCACTGGTTGTTGGTTTGGACTGTTTGTCATGATCTTAGTTTTCCTTGTATTTATTCTCAGTCCCACCATTTCTGCTGTGCTGTGTAGTCTGTTACTTTTTTCTTGTATATGTTCATGTGTATGTGATAGGAGGGCTATATCATCTGCAAAATCAAGGTCCTCAAGCATGGTGAATGGAGTCCATCGTATGACTCTCGATGTCTTGTCTACTGTGTTCTTTAGTATCCAAGAGCCATGGATATAGACATGTTGAAATACATTGTTTACAGGAGTTCACAAAAAGACGCCAACATTTTTCAGCTGTTTTGATTTTACTTATCAAATTTACATTTACTGCATCCCCTAAAAAATCGAAGCTAAAACTATTGTCAAAAACAGGTCAATGCCGTCTGCAGAAAAATCGCCTGCAACTTAGATAATATCAGGTGTTTAGGAACTATGAAACTACGTTCCTAATCCGTAAGCGACACAATGGTACAGAGACGGTATTTCAGACTGGAGCCACTATCTATGCCATTGCGGGCCGCATTCGGCCCTTGGGCCGCCATTTGAATAATATTCTAGATGCTGGCCTGGCTGGTCCAAAAACCGGTCAAATCCGCAACCAGGCAGACTCTTTTCAAAATGACGCTGGATCCCATGTCGACCCAGCGTAAAATATGTACCGGGGATTGTCCTGGGAATGGTAGGTGGACCTCGTGATGTTGAACACATCACCCACCTAGTGTCAATACATCTATACAATTCTGAATCTGGCATCATACGTCCAGCGGCATCTGTGGCTCTAGCGTTAGAGTCCGACTCGTAATTCCAGCGTTCCGCGATCGAAACCCACTGCATGGATTCTTATCATGGTATGGGGCGTCGCAGGTAGACCCAGTCTAAAAAGAATACCAGGTTGTATGTCCTGGGAAGTAAAGACGGCCGGCCTAATGCTGACCACATTACCCACCTAGTGCAGATTGGTCTATTAAAAATGTGGGTGCTCCTCTCATATGCCCAATGCGCCTAAAGGTGTAAACTTAACTTTTACTTACTTAATACGCCCTACGTAATATCATTCTTCGACATGACTATGAAGAACTATAAGATAAGTGACTCACTGACTGACTTTCTACCCCACCAGGATATCACACAAGCGACAAACACCCGATGTCACAAAGTGCCACCATGCGGATGAGGATCACCGTGGAGAGGTCCCAGAAACCGTGTTCAGACAATTGACCATATTGATGGCCTGCCTATATTGCGGCTTTAAATAACAAAAAATTACGTCCTTAAAAGGACGTAAAGAATAATAGTATATAAGATAAGTAACACAAAATGATTGAACTGTTCTTGTGTAATTACATGGATTGTCTACCCTAACTCATTACATAACAAGAGACTTTGTAAGGTGAAACATCGGATTTGTTCGAGGTGCAAAAGGGAAAAAGGCAGGGGTGCATTCTCTCACCATACCTATTCAATATGTATGCAGAAAATATAATGAGAAATGTCAAAAGTGACTACCTCTTGCTGGCTTCCCATACACTTTTGCTTTCAGTATGTTATTTTTTCCCCTCAAAGAATTATGGGCGTCTGTAGCTTAGGTTTAGCGAAAGCGCTTTGTAATTCCGAAGTCCCCTTTTCAATTTCAGCTGCGGGCGAAGTGGCAACAGAGTACTTTGCGTTAATTTTGATTTAAGCATCGACATCCGACCCTTTAAAAAGTAATGGTAAACTACAGAACGTAAAATGGCTAAGTGAATTTTAAAAAAATTACTATTTTTACAACACCCTTCTTCTTTTCCTTTGTTCCCCGGCTGTAAGCTCCTGCGGAAAGTCCTGGTTGTTCGTCCATTTGGAATTTGGCTTTGTGCCAGGGCCTGAGGTTTGCGTGTACATCCATTATACTGGCGCTTATTTGTGAGCAGGTGGTTGTTCCTTGCCACTTAGGCAGAACACTCACACTTCGAAGGAAGTCCCCAATCAGTCTACTCATACGACATGCTTGTTGAAGAGACAGTGGGTCTTTCCTTGCTGTCCCCACAATGGGGCCCCGGAACCCACACAGGGATACAACATCCTGTAAAGCAGGAATATTCAACTGGCAGCCCGCGGGCCAAAATCGGCCCGTTGAGACCTAGAAAAAAAAAGCTCACATATCATTGCAAATAGTGTTATATTAGTGATCTGTCTATGGTGGGACTCAGGTCTGTCACCATCTGCATTTTCTGTCAACATTTTGGCCCTGAGTAAACTTGCTGGTTTAGACCTGGTATAAACAACTAGCAACTAACTTTAAAAATACCTGACCTCATTTACTACCCAGCAACCCCCCCCCCCCTCCCGCCCCCAATGTTTTATTTGTAACTCTTTGTATTATAAGGATTCTTACCTGTTTCAGAATCTGGGCAGTTTTCTAGAATAAAAAAGTGAAATTAGTCACCATAAAAGGTTGCCGGTACTCGCTAAAACGTTGCTGAAAAGAGATGATGCCTAAAAAATAGGTGTGGTATCGGGTACCATTGCTGACCACCAAAAAAAATCCCAGCATGTATGGATTTCGTATTTTGTCCCCACTCTTCACGTAGCTGCACAAATATAATAAAGACAAGCAAATTGTTTCTTTCATTGCTTTCGCCCTACAAATAGTATATTTTTTTAATTCACCAAGAGAACAGATTTACTGTTTTAAATAAGAACTGCCTTAGACAGAATATGTTATAATTACAAATGGTTTGAGTCTAAAAAAAAGGTTGACAGATAAAATATGTTACTTTACTTTTCTATTTTTAAACACAAATCTAGAAAGGACTAGGAAAAACATAAAGCATTTGTCAGCTTTACAGCTTTAATATAATCAACAAAAGGCATACTGGACCAAGGAAGTTGTAATGTACACCTTATGTTTTTTCTAGACTTTTCATAGTTTTATTACAGTCCCGTTTTTGCCATTCAACAAAAATCTACAACATTCAGGAAAACCCACACAGAACCTCTGAGAATCTTATCAGCGCCTCACATCTCAGCGCGGAAGTCTACATGGCGCCGTGCGCAGAGACACTGTGCGCATGTGCGCACGCCTGTGACACATGTCTATGCAAATCACCCGTGACAACAACTACGTCATCAGCGAGCGAGGGGAAGGAGGCGGCCCTGGTCCTACCATCTTCTACACACAGTTACCTTGTGAACCGTCATCCATCATGCACGGTCTCTTCGGATTTATTTCTTTGTGCATTCGCGATTCTTAAATCGGATATTTGTGGTGTTCTGGTGATAAGACTCGACCGTCGCCGCCGCGTAATTACAAATTACGTTGGTGTGAAGGAAAGGGCTGAATTTGGCAGTGCATCCTCGGCGAGGAGGGAGCGAGCAAGCCCAAGATGGATTCAGTTGACATACATCTGGATATAGACTCGAATTTCGAACCGCAAACTAGGGCACGGTCGAATACATGGCCGTTGAGGCCTTCTAGAGAATTAGAACCACATAACAGTCCTGTAGCCATCGACGAGTCGTCGAATGGTGCTGACCAGCAGGGCTGTGTGAAGGACCCGCTCGGGTTAACGGCAAAAAAGAGCGGTTCCCGTAGAAATGCGTGGGGGAATCTTTCTTATGCCGACCTCATTACGAAGGCGATTCAGAGCTCCCCGGAGAAACGCTTGACCCTGTCTCAGATTTATGACTGGATGGTGCAGAATGTTCCTTACTTCAAAGACAAAGGAGATAGCACTAGCTCCGCCGGATGGAAGGTTTGTTTAAGTTTTGTTGTCCTTGTGTAGTTTTTTGGACTTGAGCCAGTGTTGTGTGTGTGATCAGCCGGGTTTTTGATTCTCTCCCCTCCCCCTTTTTTTTTTGCGCACCGGCATTATTTTCCATCATCCCTTCTCACCTTCATCTTTTAGCACATGTGATAAATCACATAGTTACACTAATAATCATAAGTCAGTCAGGCCTTGACAAACACAGACAGTAATGGTGAGGAATAAATCGCCGATGGAAGCCGCTCTCTGGCCCTGGTTCCTGCTTGCATAATTTTTGGCCAAGCGCCAGGACTTGTCAGAGGTCGAATCCAGGTCATGGCTAACCTGTTGTAGGTTTGTCAGAGAAGTGGCCGGGACGTTGGTCGCTCCTTAATGGTTTATTTCTTCGTCTGTGCTAGGGCTATTGGGCTATTTAAGTGTCGATCACTGACCACGGCAATAAGGGAAGTTAGGAATTTGTAAGAACCTTCTGCGTTCTCCTCCTCCTCCTGCTATTAGCAGTCCTCTACGGCATTACCATCACCACTGTTTCCCAGTCGACTCCATGTATGATATGAAACTTAGTAGATCGGATCTTTAAGCTTTAACCAGCCATGTCACATGTCATGACTGGGTAGGTTTTTAAAATTAGGAATAGTTAAAAATCGTCTGCTTTCTTCTCTCTATAGACTACTACTACCTACTGACTAAATACTACCTCTGCTGATGCTACAACTTAACTATTACATCCTTTCGACTACCATGAGCATAGATAAGATCTTTAGCCAACTCACATCACGGATATATCATGATTGCTTGAATCTTGAGCTGAATTTGTCTACACGCTGAGGTATCTAGTGACATGCCATCCTTTCTTTGTCTTTTCTTACTACTTATGGGCTGCTACCCTTGTGCCATGATGTTGATTTGTTGTTTAAACCTAAACCTTTCTTGTGTTCTTTGGTAAATCCAAGTCTGACACTGGTAAATAAAAACTTAGAATAAATATTGTATCTAGTTTGAAAGAAAATGATTTTGGTAATAGTAAACCTAAAATGTGTTAAACTGGCTAGCAAACATGCTTACCATCTTGATGAACATTGGTTCAGATTCACATCTAGATCATTGCACACTTCCGGGTTGATCAAGTTACAACAGGTATAAGGAAGTGTTTTGCGAAGTTAGACTGTCATGATACTGACCACATGACAACTTAAGGGCTCATTCTGTAATAATGTGCTGCTTGTATGGCATGGACTTTCCAGTTTTCACTGCTTTTCTGCTTCTGGTCAACACCTGTTCACACCTTTATGTGGTCATCTAAGGAATAGGAGCACATTTGCATGAGAGGTGAGACACCAAAAGTCTGCACACTGTAAGCCAGATTTGTGGTGTGTTGTTACACACAACATTAAAGTCCTGGAATAAGACCAAAGTCCAGACATGGTTGACCAACTAGGACTTTGTGTGGGAGTTAACAGCTGGTAAACACCACAGAAGACAAACGGGTGCTTTTTTTTAGCCGACCACAAATGATGTCACGGGACAGTCCAATATTTTAGAGGGTGGTAAGAGCGGGTTTTTCGTGTTTTCTGTGCTTAAGCAGATTTGTTCCAATGCCAAGGTTTTCACACGCTACCTTGACTCTAACCAAAACTGTATGCTTAATCTACCACCCCCTGAAATATTTGTCCCTTGACCTATAGATTTTTCCTGTTTGTTGTCAGATAATAAGAAAGTACAGAAAAATGTTTTGAACTGTCTTAATTCTTTAAATTGTTATAACACTGTTAAGTTATCTGCATGTGACAAGCCTGTAGTACAAAGGTAATGTTGTGTCCTTGGAGATAGCAAGAAGATATATAGAACCTGCAGGGATAGGGGTATTTTTGTGTATACAAAACAGGAGAAAATTAAAGTATTGTAGCCCAGATAAAAGCAGGTAAATAGATGGAACACAAAGGAAATGAAGACAGGTAAACCTGGTGAACTTTGCTGAGGAAGGTAGCATGACCAAAGAAAACTGGTGATCAGAGCTATGTAAACAGGATTTCACCCTTTGTGTTAGCCATTTTTCTTTTCTTGTGCCCTTTATACCCCCAGTGGAGCATAGGCCCTCAACCAACTCACATCAAGTTGTCCTATCATTTTTTCATTGTCCTCCCTGTTTCTCTTAATGACACTGGACTCCAAGATGTGATGTCACACTCATATTCCTGCAGTAATGTAGATGAAGATGTAGATATTTTTAACTTCGCTTGCTCCCTTATCTATGTTTTATTGGGGGAGGGGGAATGGGGTCTGTCTTTTTTTGTTCTGTGCCCCAGTGAGTTCCATGTGCAGTTACATTCTGATAATATTGTTCTCAGGTTTTCTCAATGTGTGCCTTATATTCTTTTCTTCACCTTTTGATTCACTGAAGCTTGTTTATTTCTCTCTCAGAACTTAACATAAAGGATTATTTCACACCATTTCATTGCCTCTTTTTTGAGCAGGTACAAGTTGATGAATATTTAGTAATTCTTTTAGTTCTGCACGTTTCCTCTCCATACAGCAGTACTGATTTGACATCAGAAAAAATCTTTACTAAATTAAATATCTGTTTAGATTTATTTTGACCTCCACAAATTTTCTAGTGCTATGAAAACTCATCCTACCTTTTGTATTTTACTATATCTCTGTCAGTTCTCCCATCTATGTCTACATTACTGTAAGAATATGAGTGCGACATCACATCTTGGAGTCCAGTGTCAAGAGAAATCACATTACTATTTGCCTGGTTTATTCTCACTATATTTGTCTTTCTCTTATGGTTTTTTGGACCTAATTGTTGTGATCTCGCATCAAGTATATTAAATTTTTCTTGTCAGATTTTTGGAGTGGGACGAAAAAAAGTATCATGTGAAGTCCTGATCATCAAGTTGTTTTTTTACTGCTGAATTCTATTCCTAGTCCTAACAGTTGTGGTCTTCATATTCTAGTCAATTGTCAATAAAAATAGAAGAGTTGACAAGAGACATTCCTGTCACACATCTGTCTTTATTTCACATGTACCTGTTAGCTTTTTTGTGTCTTTATATGTTGCCTTTACTAAGTAAATAATTTTCTGCCAAATCTCATTTTTGGAAAGATGCCCTGTCAGTGAAATAAAAATATTTTTCATAATCTAAAAGTCCAGTCTAAAGTGGTGAATTCAGTTTGATCCTTTACTATATTATTATACCTGTTGTAACTATCTGGTCAATTCAGATCTTTTTGGTTGTAAACCTGCATTTTTATCCTCTTTTATTCTTTTATCTTTCCAAACTAGTCCTCTAATATTTATCAAAAAACTGATGGCTCTGTAATTCCTCTATAGGTTTCACACTCCTGCAGCTCACTTTTTTGTGTGTTACAGTTTCTCTCCAATCTGCTGGTATTACTTCAGTCTCCCAGTCTTTACTGGATCATTTATGTAGCAGTTCTGTTGATGTGTTTATATTGGCCTTTAAAACTGCTGCTGGACTGGGATAAATTCTGGACTCGCGGTCTCTCCTTTATTCTGAAGATTGATAGCTTTCATAATTTCCAATTAGATATTATCTCACAGTTGATATCTATTTCTATTTCTTAAGGCTGGATATCTGGAGAGATCTTATATGTTTACAAGTACTTCAAAACATTCATGCCATCTGTCTATTTGAACTTTTAGTGAGAATGTTTACTAAACTTTTTTTTTTATTGATTCAGTTAGTTCTTGAGGTTCTTAAAGGTCTCTGAGGTTTAAATTTGGTGCTAGTATCTCCGCTTCTTGTGCTAGGTCATCAAAATGTTTCCTTATATCTGTGTTTAGTCGCCTCCTAACTTATTAGTTTTTGTGTATTTTTCATGAGCTCTAGCTTTAGAAGCTTTTGTTTGGGTACCTTTTCACTATTTATTTTTTTTCAATCATTTTAAGGGTTTTGGTCTTTATCCGTTCCTAATTTTTGCATTCTCCTTTAGCAATGACTTTTACATTCAATCCATCTCAAATTCCTTTGTTTTGTTCCCAATAGACTTCATTGTTCCTATCTTCAGATAATTGCTGCAGCTACTGCTACTGATTTGAGACTGAAATTGAAAACTGTTCCTTAACTTACATTTTTTTTTTTTAGTCAGTTTTCTTTCGTATCATGTTTTTCTTATTGTTCCATTTATTCTACAAGTTGTTCCTGCAACATTTAAATTTAGACGAAGATTTTCTTCTTTGGTAGCTGTGAAATAGCCGATGAGTCACATCCTGCTTGCTGCTACAGGAAAGACGCAAGTTCTCAAAGTGTTTACTTAACTTTTGCTGACTGCTGGGGCATGTTTGGAAGTGTCTTGAATGCTGTGATGTTGGTTCTTCACCCCTGAATAACTATATTTTGTTGGCTAGTGTTTTACCTTAAACTTTGAACATTTATATTGCTAGAGCCAGTTTTCTGGTTAAGCGGTTTGCATCTGGCTCCAAAGGTTGTGGCTTCATTTAGACTTTGGCTTCTGGTTCATCAGCTTTTACTGAGATCTCTTGGGATAGGATCATCACTAGAGATCTGAAGTTTGTGCTTTATGTGATGCTGTGAGCAGGTTGCCAGCTGTTCGGCAGAGAAAGACATCATAGGGTACACATTAATTAATCTGATCCTCTCAGTTGTTAATTAAGATTATTGTAATGTTTGGTGGCATAATTAATGTGTGAAGTTTATGTTTTCTGTAAAGTTCAAAAATAGATTTTGATTTTCCTTGTGTCATGATTAATTTAATTTTAAATGTCACTTATTTTACTCATTGCAAAAAGATTTTGATTATGAATTCTAGTAATTGAAAAAAGATTGTTTTATCAATCCCCAGAATTCTATACGACACAATCTGTCACTGCACAGTCGTTTTATGCGTATACAAAATGAAGGTACGGGAAAAAGTTCTTGGTGGGTTCTTAACCCCGATGCTAAGCCAGGTAAAACTCCCCGAAGACGTGCAGGCAGTATGGAAACTAAGAGTTATGAAAAGAAGCGTGGGCGGATTCGCAAGAAGGTGGAGGCGCTGCGTGCAGCCATGGAGAACGGGGAAACGTTGTCACCAGGTGGCAGTGATGATATGTTGGATGTCTTGACTTTCGGAGACTTCAGACCCCGGGCTAGTTCTAATGCCAGCAGCACCGGCAGGCTGTCGCCGATACATGCCGTGACAGAGCCTGATCTTCATGAGAACCAGGTTCCTCCTATGTCACCGATTCCTTGGGAGACTGAGGGGAGCGGCTCTCCAACTATGTATTCTGGAGAATCCTACCATGAACTGGTGAAGTCTCTAGTTGTAGGCATGAAGTTGTCAAGTCAGGACAGTCTAAAAATGGAAGTCTCCAGCATTTCAGACCCATTCAGCTCTGGTGGTACTCCCAGGGACTACAGCAACCAGCCATCTCCTTACATGGATGCCAATCATTCATCTCCTGCCATTGAAAACCACTACTCCCACCTTCCTGCTCCGCCTCCCTACCCGAAACAGCAGCAACAGATGAATGGCCTTGAGTTTCACTCGACTAACTTCAGCAATCCAGTTCGCTTACAATGCAGTTCAAGTCCTGCTATCAATGGTTCCTCAGCGTTCCAACAGACAGATTTATTCACCGATGATTTCATAGTTATGAACATGAAACAGGAGGCAGAAGCACATTCACCGGTCTGCTTTATAAAACAGGAACCAGAGAATCATTCGCCTGTTTGCTTCATAAAACAGGAGCCAGAGAGCCACTTCCCAGTGTGTATGGCCACACCCAACAGCTTGTCTGTTAACACCCAGCAATTGAATTCTCCCGACAGATCTCAACAGGGAAGTCCCAATACAGGATCTTACTCCCGTCTCAGTCCTCAACAGTCAAGTCTTGTTAATGGACAGCTTACATTATCCTCACTTAATTGTCAAGTCTCTCCTCAGCAGAACCGGCATCTGGTGAAACAGGAGGCAATCAGTACAGTTTCACTACAACAGCAGCAGCAGCAGCAACAACAACAGGGGTTGCACCAGGTGAGCCATGATTCAATTCTGCGCGAGGCTCTCACCAGAGGTGTCCCAATTTTCCGGTCGCAGTCCAGTGCTAATACACCTTCACCTACCTTTTCGCCTCTGGGCAACCGCTCACCGCTGAGCCTAGTTCAAGCATTAGGCAACATGAGCAATGGCATGCATAACATTGGCCTGAGCATAAGCTCTAATGTCAGCCCGCACCACCAGTCTGCGACAGCGAGTCAGATGCATGGCCTGCTTAATGATGCTTTCTGCGACAATGTAGTCACTCTTGGCGGTATAGGTTCGGGGAGCAACAACAACAACAACCCTGGGATGCCTCTAGACATTGATGTGGATGTCATGGGCATGTCGGGGCTGGACTACGACATGGACCAGGTTATACAAGAACTAACAAGGGAAGACAATTTAGATTTTAATTTTGAAGCAGGGCCAGCAACTTCAGTTGGACAAAGTGTTGTACACTGACTTTGTGTGTGATCTTGCTGAATTCACTACTATAGGATGTATTCTATGGTCTTATTTTGTGTTTGTTTTTACTGTCAGGCCAGATATAGAACTGGAACTTAAGCACAAAGTATTTATGTGATAATACTGTTAATAATGTGAAAGATATGTGCCATTGTTGGTAAAGAAATCTACAGATGGCACATAAGGAACTGATTCATGTTAAAGGTTTCTCCAGCATCTTGCTTCATCTTATGTTCCAGCTTTGTGGATTACCAGTGAAGACGCCATGTGGTTGTGATGGAATTGCTGCTGGAGTTCTAGGAGCGGTTTATTGTACACTGGATTATTTCATTGCCGCTGTTCCTATTGGTGTTTGTGATGTGGGTGGATAAACATTTTGTCTTTAGTATGTCGGTAACAACACTGACCCAGAGCTGTACAGTTCTCAGCCACAAGTCTGTACTTGTCTGAGAGAACTTTATGGGACCGCAGTTTTAACAAAAATATTTCATTACAATCTAAACTTCAAGAACTGTATACTCTTGTATTAGAGTATAACCCATTGCACCATGCATGCTATGTTAAGAAGACATAAAACGGATCTATGTGTTTTTTCTGCTCAAGAAAATGAGAGTCAGATTGCTTAAATGATAAAATATAATTTGACTGTTTTACATAGTGAAAATCAAATATACAACACAACATTTTCTTGTTATGAATTTAAACATTGAAAACATAAACAATATATTTCACAATGTATTGACTATATGTTGGGATAAGCGCTGTGGTAATGAAGCTGACAGAATACAGTAAAATATTTCAGGCAGCATACATTGTGCAATATATTGTTTGTGTTCTCATATTTTGAAGTTAAATATGTTGGCAGGAAATTGTTTTTTCAGGCATGGTAGCAAAGTAGGCACCAGCGAATGTTGTTGTTCACAGATTGCTTTCTCAGGCATGGTAGCAAAGTAGGCACCAGCGAATGTTGTTGTTCACAGATTGTTTTCTCAGGCATGGTAGCGAATGTTGTTGTTCACAGATTGTTTTCTCAGGCATGGTAGCAAAGTAGGCACCAGCGAATGTTGTTGTTCACAGATTGTTTTCTCAGGCATGGTAGCAAAGTAGGTATAAGCGAATGTTGTTTTCACAGATTGTTTTCTCAGGCATGGAAGGAAAGTAGGCACCAGCGAATGTTGTTGTTCACAGATTGTTTTCTCAGGCATGGAAGCAAAGTAGGTATAAGCGAATGTTGTTTTCACAGATTGTTTTCTCAGGCATGGAAGCAAAGTAGGCACCAGCGAATGTTGTTGTTGACAGATTGTTTTCTCAGGCATGGAAGCAAAGTAGGCACCAGCGAATGTTGTTGTTCACAGCTATGATATCTTCACTTTTCAGCCCATCATGTCCGATTTCAGTAAAACTTCCAATTGCCTTTTAGGAGGTGACTAATGAACTGCTTAAATGCATTGGTTCCTGCTCAACCCCCACCCCCCACCTTAAAATGGGCCCCAAAATCCACACTGAGAGATTGTTTGAACTTACTGCCTTGCAGAATATTCACACCACACCAGTCAAAACTATGTTTTCTAGGAATTGTAGATTTGATTCTTTCAATCCTGTTCAAATATTACTTTAAGTCACTCTGTCCTTAAGAGTTGTTTTCTAAAGATAAACACATTTGAGTCTTGAATATTTCACATAACAGCAGTATGGGACGAAAGAATATAGAATTAACAAGTTAGTATTGAATAGGATAAAACAGCAGCTGGATAGAATACAAGATGTCTAGATAAGACAATGGCAGTAATAAACCCAGTGGCCTGCTTGCAAGAATTAAGCCAACACTGTGGTTCCTGGGATGTGAAAATAGAGAAGCATTGTAAATAAAGAAACGTTTATATGCTGTGTACCGCTTTGGGCATATTATGCTAGACCCAAGTTTTTGGGTGATCAATGGATGATGCTGTGGGACTCCTTGCCAGCTGCCTGTACTTTGCAGTACATTTCATAATACCCATTTTATGCTGTGTTATCCTCAAAGCTCAAGTCAGTTATTGAAGGAGAAAAAAAATTCACTTTGTTGTAGATTTACGCCAAGACCTGTGAGCCAGCAGGCTGTCTTGTGTGAATCTTCCTGAATAATGTAGATTTTACTCTTTCAGTCTTGTGAGTTGGCAGGCAAACAGGCAGTCCTGTGTGAATCTTCCTGAATACAGATTTTTCTTCCAGTCCCAACTCAGGCATGGTGTGCTGGTGACATTGTGCCACATGTGTTGAACATCACATCAAGTGTCTTCTTATAGTTTTTGGTCACTGTATGCTGACTAAAACTGGCAACCACAGGAGTATCTTTCATTAACTTTTCATTTCTACAACACATTAAGTGGTTAGAGTTTCCCTGGCAGTATGTAATGACAAAAAAAGAGTCATATTTGTAGAAAACCTTATGGGGCGGAAAGAGACAAGTCGTCATTGGTGTCCCTGAGATTATAATGTTGAAGACAGTAACCTGGCTACTTAGTCCAAAAGTTAGGGAATGAGTTTTAAAATGACATGACCCGCCAGTAATAGGGTTCAATTTCCATGACAAAACCATTCTTTTGATGTTTAGATTACAGTACGAGAGTCACACCGTTGAACCGTCGTTGTAGAGAAGAAAGAAAGAAAATTTTAGGATAACCAGGTTCTGGTTAGTGTGGTGACTATAAAGGTTGAAGCCAGTGCGAGTTTCTTATCTATGAACAGTATAATTATAGAAGTGTTGGCATGTCTATGACTGACAGTTTTTGTAACTCTGACATACTAAGTTGGATTTGACAGCAGACTGTTTACTGTTGCTTTTGACTATGACATCAGGGTTGAGTGATTAAGAAAGCAATGGCAAACTACTGTGTTAAATGGTCTAGTACAACCAAAAGCAACCAACACATATTTGGATTGGTTAGTAAAGTCCTGTAAATAATATGCAACTAATCATACAGTTGCTTTTTGGTTTGTGAAGGGGCAAATTTGTAAAATAAACGCATAAAATGAAATTGAAATTATTGATGAAATAAAAATAAAATTGTTCCTTTCACTGAGATAGATCTATTGCGAGAATTCTGATATGCCGTTGTCATTCTGTCTACAACATACAATCACTTCCTGTTCCGTTTTTTGTTCTCAGACTAGCACTGAAAGTAAAGTAAGTAAGGTAAAGGACCCTTCTCCAAGCCTTTAGGAGAATATAGGCATATAGGGCTAGACCTATATTTTATAGACCAACGGCACAAGATGGGTGATGTGGTCAGCATCCTGCTGGCCGCCTCTACTTCCCGGGACTGTACTGGTACCCCCTCAAGGTTGGGTCGAAAAGTCCGGCTTCGCCAGGGAGCACTGAAATGTTATGTTAAATTATAAGATTCTGGCTGTCCATGTTAGTCTGAATCAGGGCCGTTCAACTAACAGCCTGCAGAGACCTGCCAAACGGCCCACAGAGATCTGCCAAATAACCCACAGATCACTGCTCAGGTCACTGACCCACAACGATCCCCGTTTTCAAACTGGTTGCCCCTGACTTAACTTATTTCAATAGAACTCGTCTAAAAAATTCACCTCTCTCTGTTTTGCCCCATTTGTATATGTTTATTTTATCTACTTTAATGTGTAATGTGTGTTATTGTCCAAGTTTTCTGTGTCTGTTCCGTCATGCATTTGCTAAAGAAATGTATATGTGAATGTCATTAGTGTTTTTCCTTCTATATTGTATTGTACTGATATACGTTTGCTAATTGCACTTTTGTACCAAGAGGGCCACCATTGCGTAGCGGCTAGATGCTCACCTGCGGATTGGAAGGTTGTCAGTTCGGGTCCTGATGGAGCCAGACTTTTTTTTTTCTTCTAAATAATCTTGTTGCCAGGTTGACCCAGCCTTGAATGGGTACCAGGTACAGTCCTGGGAAGTAAAAGCGGCTAGTGGGATGCTGACCACATCACCCACCAAGGGCTGATGGCTCTGCAAAATATAGGGTTTTAACCTGTATGTCTAATACATCTGAAGGCGTGAAAAGGGGGTTCCTATACATTACTTCTGTACCAAATTCTTGTACATGTACCTTTGACAGTTCAAGTGTAGCAGAAATTAGAATGAGTTGGCTAAAATACGACAATAAACAATAGACATTAATAGAATCAAAAGAAATAATGCACATGTTTGAAGAAATTTAGTTACTCTAATAAATGAAGTCTATTAGAATTATGGTAACTAATGACGTTAACAGACATAAAATGAATTTAAGAAAAGGGAGACATTTCTGGACAACTGCTCAGGGGTTTTTTGAAGAAAACAAAAAGATAGCAGTATATTGGGCACATTATGTGGACTTGATCAGCAAATCACAAAAGAGGTACTGAAATGGGAAACAAATGGATTGAAGAAATAAGGTGTCCCCACCCCAAATCTGAGAAGTTTTGTCCATTGCCTTACTGAGAAACGAACCCAGCTCTCCCACTTAGGAGCGAGGCATTCTAACCACTTTACAGTTGCCAATGACTGAGCAGTTTGAGATGTTTATTTGTGCCTCCAACAGAAAACAATCTTCCATCGCCTTACTGAGGAATGAACCCAGATCTTCTAGTTGAGGGGGAGGCATTCTAACCATTTGGCCAGCTGCAAGGGATCGTACACTAAATAATGTGAGCTGACTTTTCTCTACAGGTTCGTTGGGGAACACAGAATGATTTAGTTTCTACAGTTTATCCAAAATCACTTTCAGTTGAACCATTATCCTATTGGGCCGTTACATGTCAAATAAATATCATCACATATCAGGATTTTTTTTTTTATGGATACAACCTCAGATATCTTCTTCTTCTTCTTTGCATTCACAAGCTGTTAACTCTGGCGGAAAGTTATGGTTGTTCATCAACTTCTGGACTGCAGTCCCGTTCCAGAACCTGAGTTGCGTGTGCATCCGTTTTACAGACCTGACTCCTTTGTATGCAGACTGCTGGTTCCTCACCTCTCAGGCAGATGC